GGAAGCATTTCACAAAAAAATCAACTCAGAAATGTCCAAGAAAAACAAATTTTATGAACTGATTGTTTGAGCCAATAAAAAACAAAAACAACAAAACAGATTCTCTGTATCACATTTAGAAAAAAATTCAATACCCACTGGAGTGAAGTTAATATTATATTGGTTTTGAAGAGCATTAACTATATGTCAGCCCCCATGAATGCTCTTTAAATATAATGTGCGAAACTTGGTTTCCAATATAAATAGCTTATGTAGAATATTTTGGTGATTCGTCTAAGAGATTTCTTTAACATTGAGATCACTGACATTCTTTCTGCTTCATACACATTTTGCACTCAATCTTATTCTTGTAAAATCTTGTGAGAAAAAATATATTTTCAAAAGGTGTCAGAATTTTTCAAATGAGAAATTATCGTTATTATATACTTTATTATTTGATTCAGCATGCACATCTTGGTTGCGATACTCAAGATGAACAAGCAGGCCAAAATAATAAGGCATATAATTAACCATAATTATAATTCTTAATCTGAAAAATCCAATATAAATTAACAATTTAGTACAGAGCCAACATGATACCTGAATGGATACAATTGAGTATAACACCCAAGATAAGAATGCTGCTCCAAATTATAAGGCATAGAATAATTTTCAAACAGTAATACTGCAATAGAATGCTAAAACTTATTACAGTAATTTTATAGAAAGCTGGTTCTTGTTCATGATCTCAAAGCATGAAACTAAACTGAAACTGGTAATAATGTAATTAATGAAAAGTCAAATGATTTATGCACATTCATAAAAATAAGCAACTGAGGGCCTTAAAGTACATTTTTCAATTCACCACCACTTCATGTTTAACAGATTAAATCTAAACCTGACATAAAACAGGATATCCATTTAAAGTCAAGGCTTTTTACTTTTGTTTTTCTCTTAAATGCACAAAAGAAAAATGCAAAGGTTGTCACATTTTTTTTAATGAAGAGAGCAGTTTAGTTCATCCTCAATATTCTTTAAAAAAGGCTACAAAAGCAGTGTTTGAGGTCTTTTCTTCTGAGACAACAAAAAGATGTTACAAAACTGCAGATAAAATGTAGTCTACAATATCAATAAAAATTTTGAGAAGGAAGGTAACAACTCATTAGTCCTTTTATCAAAAATTACAAATCATCATTGATTGATGGTTGTATAGATGAAATGGTCACAGTAAATTTAGAACAATATTTCACATTTCCAGTTGAGACAACATTAACTTCTCAGTATCCTGACCTTGGGATTTGATGGGTTAATTAAAAAAAAAGCTTACATTGGTGAATTAACATTTCCTTTAGAACATACTGACCAGGCCCATGAATGAAATCGAGAAAATATATAAATGCAAGAACAATGACAGAGAGATAACTGAAATGGGATATTGAGATTTTATTGCCAATGTAACTTTGGCATACCTGATTCAACTTGGATTGTCTGCACCAGAAAAGAGGTTACAAGATTGGGAAGAGACTGATTCTGTAAAGAGTTGGCATTCACACAGCATAAAAAAAAAATTTAACAAATCCTGGTGATATTGTAAGGTAATGCTGGGATGCCATGGAATAGTGGTAATGATATTTCAGCTTTGAAACCATACCTGATATCAGAATCAGTGTCTGATGAAGGAAGGCTTTGATAGAGGCATTGCCATTGTTTATACAGCAGTAGTTGTGTTGTACTGTACTTTACACACACAAATAGATGGAGTTTCATTTGGTCTGGCACAGTACTACATTAGTTAATATCATCGACTGAGTTTACTTCACTTGCATGAGTTGTACTATCTGAACTAGCAATATCAGGGTTTTAAAGTTAAATACAGAGGCACTACTGGATATTAACAAATATGTATAAGTTGAGAGATAATCTGGAACACTTTTTTACTATCCAGTATTTTCAGAAAATGAACTACTTTTCACAAGAACAAAATCCTAATTAATAAAATGCAACGTGAGTCACATCTGAATGCTTTAACTCTATCATTACAGAAAATAAGTTTTAACTAATTTCAATTCTTTTATTGATTTTATTTTTTGAATGGTGTATACCCCCCCACACACACATTGTTTTCATACCAATTTAGTAAGAACATAATATAAACAAAAACAGACTGGCTGTTTATTAATTATAGATTTGTGTATCATGGAACTTTCAATGCGTGTTCATCATATTTTATTAAATTGGAATTTTCTAGATCAAAAATCAAAATCCCAAATATTTCGGCAGCACACAAGTGCATTAGTGTGTTTTTTAATTTGAAGTCTCATTTTATATTTATATATATATATATATATATATATATATATCACAAAAAAACCTGGGTCAGTGATCATGCACTGTAAAAACACTGGTAAAATATAAATACAACAAAATCTCAGTTGATTTTATCTCATTTAACATCAAAACAAGAAAAGACTGTAGATAAAAGAAAAATCCAGAGCTTATATTGTGTGTCTGTCAGTACACAGCTGACTCCACCCACTGTGCTCCCACAACCTCCTTGTGAAACATGCCATCTCCAAAAATTTGCAAGCATGTAAAGTAATGTATCTTTCACTACTTTAAGCATGTCCATCATCCCAATCTATTACATGCTAGAATAGAAAGAAATGGAGGAACGTGTCTGGAGGGGAGGTGAGCCATCTCTCTAGCCAGTGAAGGGAATTTAGAGAAGTGAAAGAAAGAATTTGGCTTATCATCGTGGCTAGCACTTTACCTTTCTTTTCTCATTTGTTTCATCTCTCCCCTTATTTCATCTCATGTAATCGGGTTTGACCAGTTGGACAAGGCAAGACTGTTCAGGGTGCTGGAGATCTTATTCAACAACCATTATAGGCTGCAGCACCCTCAGCACCAACAAGCAGCAGCTGTTAAGTCTTGTAATGCACCATAAATCAGGCTTGCAGCCAGATGATTGACCCAGAAGATTGGAACTGCGAGCCTGAGGCTGATGGGGATAAAGAGTATGTACTCCATCTCCAAAAGATATGCATCAACGAACAGCTATGCCAGAACATGACTGCACGTATACAAACAAACATACAGGTTTTGAAATACACGTATAGACAATAATACTTATTTTTCTGTGTATGTGTCTTCACATAAATATATATGTTTATACATGTATAGTGATATATGTACATGTATGTATGTACATGTTAACTATATGAGATTAAATTTTTTATAATCATTTCACCCCAAGCAAGGTGATAATGTCACAAAGATGCAAAGAGTTACTTGGAGAATGAGAAGACATTAGTGAGGAGAAAGGGCAATAAAACAACAGGATTCAGGAAAGCAGAAGATGGCAATGGCTGTTGCACTTCAACATTTGAAGATTGTAGGTGACAGGGAAGTAGGAAACAGGTTAAAAATGCAAAAAATATAATAGATCTTATGTCAATTTCGACAATAAAATGATGAAATCTAGTTGCTGATCTAGTAATGCGCACTCAAATTTATGTGGGCAAGGTGCCAAAGAAGAGAGTTCATTAGAACAATTGTCATGAAAATATTTATAGAAAAGACATCATGGTGGTAGGAAAATAACTGAAACCAAGATGCCAGCTCAAAACTGATAACATTACAGATCCTTCTTTGAATTTTACTGAGAATTTCAAAATATATAGCCAGAGCAGCAGACCAGATATGGCAGCAATATTCAATGCATAAACAAATATGTGTGTGTGCTCTCTCTCTCTCTCTCCCACACACAAAAAATGGGGCTACTAAAAACTTCTCAGCCAAAACCACTTTACAAATGATCAAACACCAGAATTTTAGGAAAAGACCTTTTTGGTTAGGATGATAACTTTTCAACACTCTTTGTGTATGTGTGCATGTATGCACATGTATAAGCACACAAGCATATTAGTATATACAAACTAACACAAATGTAAAGTATCAGTTCCGTCCCACAGTCATAAACCTATCAATCCACTGTACAGAAAGCATTTTAGGTCATAAATTAAATAGAAAAAATGTAACAATGAGGTGGAGGAATATTTTCATAAATTTAAATCACTCCTATTTTGTCCTGTGGAGACTACACAGTCTCAAACAAAACAAAATTACTGGTTTACAATTAACTGTTTGCTCCTGAAAACAAAACCAAAATACAGAACTCATATAGGTGTCTATGTAATACTACCATGATGATGCTAATCATCACCATAATAATGATAAAAGAAACTATTATCTCTACTAGGTCCATGCCAGTAAGAAATTAGAAACAGGTGCACCTTATTTTCATACATGCAGACTGTAGTATATTGAAGCTACACTAAAAAAAAAAAAAAAAAGACATTCAGTGCTTTTGATATGGTGTGGTAAACTGAAGAACTCTGATGGTAGATTTAAAAAAAAAAAAAAGAAAAAGAAAGGGAACCCAATTAAAAGTGAACAAAACTGAAGAGAGGAACTAGTTTATTTCACCTTTTCTTTTTTTCACCTTCTGTACTAGTGGTGGTGGGGGCTAAGGACACCATCATATCTTTATTGCAACCCCTTCTCTTCTATCTGATTAAAGTACCTACATCACTGTAAGTGCCACTGGCTGGTTTTCTTTAATTTGGGGTGTTTATGATAGTGTGAAAAAGGAAGCAGGGTATTTGAGAGAAGAAAAATAATGAAATGGCGTGGAAGTAAAGAAACTGGTAAAGAGAGAAAAATCAAATTAAAAAAAGCTTTATTCCATCATCAACTCTTCTGGCTGCTTGCAGTCATCTCTGACAACTCAGCAGGGATAAAATAGATAAGTAAAAATAAACAAATGGATAAAAAAAAGTGTGGGGAAAGAGAAAAAAGGTGTTGGAGATAAACTTATATTTAATATTCTCTCTTTCTATCTGGTGATACTAAAAAAATCTAAAACTCAAAATGATAAAAGATAAGAAAGATGCAAGTTTAGAACAAAATATCTAATACAAAAAAATTACAGAAAAACAAAAGGAAAAGATGAGTGAAGATTAAATAAAGAGAAAGAAGGAAAGAAGAGAAAAAGGAAATAAGAAAAGAAAGAAGGAAAGAAGAAAAAGAGGAAGAAGGAAATAAAAAGGAGAAAGAAAAAGAAAAAAGAAAGAATAGAAGAACAAAAAGAATGAGAAAGAAATGTATAAAGATGAATGTAAATGAAAAGAAAAAAATGAAAACTTAAAAGAAACTATTAAAGACAAAAAAAGAAGTGATGAAACAATCAAAAACGTATATGAAGAAAAAACTAAAAAAAAAGATGAAAAAGCAGCAATAAAACTAGAAAGGGTATTTTTAAAAAGTAAGGAAGATCACAAGAATAAAAAAGAAATTTGGCAGCTATTGACGGAGACAGTGAAGGTGGCGATAAATAAATATTAACTTCTGCTAATTATAAATCAACTAAAATGTCTGAGTCTTCAAGTAAGTACCGCCAATTCCTCCCTGTCAACTCCACCACTTCCATCAACTGCACTTCACTTCCATCCAACTCTTCATCTTTATTGCATTATAAAAGAATAAATAAATAAAAAGACGATAGCAAATATATTATGTGTGTGTAATTCTATAAGTGCTACTGCTAAACATGCCTTTTGAGTGAGCTACGAGCAAGATGATTTCTGTTTATCTTGAGGCTTTCTGCCGAGAAGCTCTTCATGCCATCCCTTTCTTTCCCAGCTTGAATAGCTGGGAAAGAAAGGAGGGTAACAGCATAAAGAAGAAGAAGGAAAAGACAGGCAGCAGCAACAACAACACGGTACAACAGTTACTGGATTACAGATCACTTACGGCATAATTGCTAATATGCTAATGTCTTTATTTACACGACGATTACACAGGAATTTCTCTCATTTCGAGTTGATTCTCACTCTCTTTTTTTTTTTTTTTTTACATGCCTACTTTTTTCTTCTCATTCTCTGCTTGGTGGAGATATGCTTGGATAGGTTCATTCATTAATAAGTAATAAGTATACACACGAACGAAGTCACAGTACGGATAATGAGGTTTTTGCAATAGACGATGAGGGAGACAGACCTTTATATTATGCCAACAGTGGCGCATTTAATTTGGCTACGAGATTTAATTAATCAGTTAATTAATCTGGCAATATGATGGACCGGACCTGAGATACACCGACAAAGATTGCCAGTGCAAATTTGGCTTTTCTTGATCATGTGTACAAAATCATAAAATCCGGAAAATAAGTTTCTTTTTTTATTTATTCTTGTTGACTGAAATTGTAAGTAAACATTATTCAAAATTTATAGTAGTATAAAGTCTTTCACACTCTTGGAAAAAGGGGGAAATATATAAATTGTAAAAACAAACAAACAAAAAAAATGGACTTAAAAGCTCAATTGGATATAATAAAAAAATAACCCAAATTTATCCAGGGATAGCTTTTTTTCTAAAATATTGACTTACAATGATGATGATGAATTAAACATCCTTTAATACTATCAGTGCCAGCAGGTGTTACTTACAGCAATGTGCAGAGGACAAAATGAAGACAAGGTGCAAATTTCAAAGAGGAGATATTATTTAATTAACATTGTCTCACACTTAACAGAAAGAGTAATGAAAACATTAACATTCTTTGAAACTGCACATGCTAATGTGTGCCAGGGAATATTTCTTTTTCCCTAATAAGAGTTTGGAGTTTTTAGTGTTTTTTTTTTTCTTTCTTCAATAATTGTTTTTTTTAAAATTATTTCATGCCAAGCAGGGCAATAGCAACTAAGGGTGAGAGAATATGAGAAAAAAAAATTCATTAGTGAGAGAGAACTATAAAAGATCAGGAATTAAGAAGACAGAAAAGAATGATTGATATTGCATTTAAATTTTTGAAGATCAAAGTTGACTAGAAAGCAAGAAGCTGAAAAAAAGTTCAACAAGCAAGAAGTGTGAGAGAAGAAACTGTTAGCATAGAACTTACAGTTATGTCTAGACATTTTGATTGTAGAATGCTAAAACCTGAGACCAATCTAGTTGTATGCTTAAATTCATAAAGTCTAAGTATCAAAGAGAAAAGCTCATCAGAATAATTACGGTGAGAAATATTTATGGAAAAGCCACAGTGAAACTATATTATGATGATGGAAAAATGACTGAAGCTGAAATGACAAGTCAAGATAATTTATATTTTATATTCTTCTGTGTATTTTGTCAAGAATTTTTAAATACATTAGCACCAGATTAGATGTGGCAGCAATATTCAGTGCCTGGACAAAAGGTTGACTTATAAATGTGTGAGAGAGATTCTGGAGAGAAAATTGTCTAGTACAACACAATGAACCAATATTGCTAACAGCAGACTTAGTAACTGATTCAATATAATCTTTCCACTTCATACCAGCAGAAAATGTTAGCCCAAGAAGGTGCAATGTATCATTCTCCTGGATGTTAGTATCAGCCATACTGATGGAAGACAAAAAAAGATTCTCTCAGATGATTAAAAGAAAGCAGTTTTGTTTAGGAGGTGATATGCCAATTTGACTTTATTGAGTCAATGAGACTTATTGTAAAAAATCCTTCCTTTGGAAATCATAGTTCTTGCACAGGGATGGATGTTCATATTTCCCATAAGGTCTCCATCTTTGGAATCAGCTTCAATGGCAATGAGTTGAACAGACAAATTCTTGCAGTACTTTTTTTGTCTTGTTGAATAAATGTTTGATTTTAGTCAGTGTACGTTGAAGTATCAATCAGTATAATTGTTTTATAAAATCAAAAATGCTTGTCTATGGGAAGATTTATGACAAAACAATGTCCTCTGTTGATTATTCATGATCATAACATCAAATCATCATGTTTCTCCATTTTATCGGGAAAAATTGGTTTTACATCCATTTCATAGAAAAACTATTTAGAAATGATAAATTAGTTAAGTGAACTTTGTATAACTTTGATAATTCCAAAAGTTGTTTTGGGTTATTAGATTCAATCTTTCTGTTGCTATTGTTATAATTACTTTCTGGCTGAACTGTTTTAGAGCTTTTTTCAGATATAAAATCCATTAAGAAGTGTCTTTTTATTTCTTTTTTGCTTTTTTTTTCATTCTTTAAATTGTATACCTGAAAAAGGCTGTAGAATGAATCATCCTAAACAGAAAAATAATTACTGCTCATCGTAAAAAATTCAAACTTTGATGAAATCCTTAATTAATTTACCAAATGAAAACTTAAACTGCTTATTTTTAAATACCCAAATAGGTAATTAGTAGGACAGACTGGATTTTATAGCCTTGAGTGGCAACCAGTCTAGGAGATGGAAAACTCTGAATTCAAAACTATGTAGCCCTGGCAAAGCACATTCAACTAAGGAATGGAACATGACTCAATGATCCAGACAATAGTCAAAAAAAAAAAAAAAATTGATAATCTCAAAAATGCACAATTACAAGGTGGTACTGAAAAGTTCTGTCCTGCTCAATATCCAGTGATATTACAAAGCGTGGTCATCTAGAGGATTAAATGTCATTTTGTAAAATGTTCAGTGATGGTTGCGTGTGTTGCAGACCTGGAGAGTGATTAGCTTCAGAATGTATTAATGTACAGTTTCAAACTCTGGCTTCATGATGTGAGTTTCCATCAATTACAACTCTTACTTGTCTTTAGTGTTTCTAAAAGGAAACATTGAATGAACAGTGCCTTGTATATCCATAACATTGTTCAATCCATTTTTCTATCATTCCTGCTACAGAAAGGCCCACCAATGGGGTGCCTGTGCTACCTAACATGCTCTGCAAGTTGCTCAACAACATCCTTGACCTACACTATCACCAAACTTCATCAAACATGCATGGTACATAATCAAACAATGGTGAACTTATTCAGTTAACCCATCTACAACTCTTGTATGAACAGTTGCAAGAAATGTAGAATAATGCATTGGTGGATAGTATTTGCCAGCTGTAGGAATATTTATATTAGAGTACAGGTTTGTCTTTATCCCCAAAGAGGATATACAGTGCATTAATATTCGATCAGAACATTGTTGATATGCTCCTAATTATAGAATTTGTGTACATATTGATGTGTATATGTGATCATTTACTGGAATGTATGTTTAATCCTGAGTAAATTTAAACATATTTAGAATATTGCATTTTTATTTACCATCGGTGGATATCTAAAAATATCACTAGTAAAATAAGTGAAGTGAAATTTATGTACCATGCTGTGAACCTCTAACCAAATCAAATAGTGACATCACTTGAACTATCTAGCTCCAAAGTAGTTTATAGTCTGTGTGATATCTTCATTTTATTGAGAATTCAATTAAAGGATTTTGATGGCATTTTTCAGGCAGCTGAACTTTCATCACAATAAATTTAACCCAGTGACCTCTGACTTTTCTTAATGACATGTTCTGCCATTGTGATATTGTTAAAAACTTCTATATTTTTTCTTCATAATAAGAATAAAATCTACTCCTTGAAAGGTAGCTAACTTGGAAGGTGTTTTAAAAATTTTCCTTTCATCTATGTTTGGCACCTCCTGAGTTAAAATTAAAGACAATCTATACTTTTGGTTTTGGTATTTCATGGCTGGTGCAAAAACATTGTATTTGTTCTAAATAGGCCACTTGTTATATAGCTGACTAGTTAACATTGATTTCTTATCTAAAATCTCAGTTCCTATTACTGGCTTGTAAAATCTACATATGTTTTAACACCAGCTAAAAGAACAAGCTGAGTAGGTAATGCAAAAGACAAGAAAAACTTCCTCTCTTCCTCCTGAGCAAAGAAGTTATAGGTAATACAGTAATTGTCTTTTTCTGAGAAGCAAAGTCTCCACACAATTTGGAAAAAAGTTGGGAATGCTGTTATAAAAAGATTATTTTTGTAATGACTTATTAACAGTACTTGAAACAAATTATGAACATCTAGATTTTTCTGACTTATCATCTAATCAAGCTGGTTGTCTGGCTAATGTCTTTACTGAAGCATTTTCTTATCTATTCTTTCTGCTAAGATCAGTAAATGGAATTCAAGTTCAGGTCTGTTATAGTGATTTTCAAATAAAATAACTGGGTTGAATTTCACAATTCTGAAAAATTAATCGTTCTCATTTATTTGTACTTAAACACAGATATTCCACGCTCTTCACAATGATTTCTCAGTAAAATTATTAAAAGCTACAAACCACTGTTGAAATTTTGATTATTTTCTTTTAAAAATAAGTGAATTATGTACTGTTTTATAGGATAACAATTTTTCAGTTATCTTCAAAATCTATGTGGGAT